CACCCAGTGTGGGGGCCAGTGGGAAGGGCTTAAACTAACCACCAGAGATCAAGACCTGAGCTGAGATCAAGAGTTGGAGGTTTAGCTGACTGAGCCACCCAGGTGGCCCTGTGATCTGTTTTCTAAATGTAACTGCACATATGAACACTGCTGGGGGTTTTTTTTTCCTCTTGTGCCCTTTTTTTCTTTTTGCTATTTTTGTTTTTGAATAATGTTACATTTACAGAAAAGTTACAAAAATAGTTCAGAGTTCCCATGGTAATGAAAAAATTTTGGAATCAGATAGAAGCAATGATTGCTAAACACATTAAATGTACTTTCTTGCCACGGAATGTTACTTTACAATGGCTCCTGGGTTTTACATATGTGTTTTGTATCAAATGCTTTACTAAAATCATACTCAGTTCAGAGGTTTTCAGCTGCCAACTCGCTACCCGCAGTCAACCCATTATCTTCATAGTGAAAAGTGTTGCATCTTCCATATTGAACAGCCCTTACATCTTTTTCTTCTTGAATTGCATTAGCTGTAATTTCCCAGGTGTTGATAAACAACAATTGAAATAGTAGACTTTTTTTTCATCTTTCAAATTGTCATAATTTTTTTCTCTCAAGATTTTTTTTAATTTCTTTTCAGAAATTGAAGAAGTCACAAAAAGATGAAAGACCATTCTATTCTCTTGGATGGGAAGAATAAACATTGTTAAAATGTCTATACTGCCTAGAGCAATCTATACTTTTAATGCCATTCCAATCAAAATCCCACCGGTATTTTTCAAAGAGCTGGAGCAAATAATCCTAAAATTTGTATGGAATCAGAAGAGACCCCGAATCGCTAAGGAAATGTTGAAAAACAAAAATAAAACTGGGGGCATCACGTTACCTGATTTCAAGCTTTACTACTTCTTTGTTTTGTTGACTGTTTCCTTTGCTGTGCAGAAGCTTTTGATCTTGATGAAGTCCCAAAAGTTCATTTTCACTTTTGTTTCCTTTGCCTTTGGAGACATATGTTGAAAAAATCGATTCCATTACTATAGCACCAAGAACCATAAGATATCTGGGAATCAACCTAACCAAAGAGGTAAAGGATCTGTACTCAAGGAACTAAAGAACACTCATGAATGAAATTGAAGAAGACACAAAAAGATGGAATACCATTCCATGCTCTTGGATCGGTAGAATAAACATTGTTAAAATGTCTATACTGCCTAGAGCAATCTATACTTTTAATGCCATTCTGATCAAAATTCCACCAGTATTTTTCAAAAAGCTGGAGCAAACAATCCTAAAATTTGTATGGAATCAGAAGAGACCCCAAATTGCTAAGGAAATGTTGAAAAAGAAAAACAAAACTGGGGGCATCACATTACCTGATTTCAAGCTTTACTACAAAGCTGTGGTCACCAAGAGCATGGTAGTGGCATGAAAACAGACACATAGACCAGTGGAACAGAGTAGAGAGCCCAGATATGGACCCTCAACTCTGTGGTCAAATAATCTTTGACAAAGCAGGAAAAAATATACAGTGGGAAAAAGACAGTCTCTTCAATAAATGGTGCTGGGAAAATTGGATGGCTATATGTAGAAGAATGAAATTCGGCCATTCTCTTACACCGTACACAATGATAAACTCGAAATGGATAAAAGACCTCAACGTGAGACAGGAATCCATCAGAATCCTAGAGGAGAACATAGGCAGTAACCTTTTTGATATCAGCCACAGCAACTTCTTTCAAGATATGTCTCCAAAGGCAAAGGAAACAAAAGCAAAAATGAACTTTTGGGACTTCCTCAAGATCAAAAGCTCAATGTGGGTTTTTTTGTTTTTTGTTTGTTTGTTTGTTTTTTAATTTTTTTTATTTATTTTCAGTGTAACAGTATTCATTGTTTTTTGCACCACACCCAATGCTCCATGCAATCTGTGCCCTCTCCAATACCCACCACCTGGTTCCCCCAACCTCCCACCCCCACCCCTTCAAAACCCTCAGATTGTTTTTCAGAGTCCATAGTCTCTCATGGTTCACCTCCCCTTCCAATTTCCCTCAACTCCCTTCTTCTCTCCATTACCTTTTTGCTCCATGCTATTTGTTATGCTCCACAAATAAGTGAAACCATATGATAATTGACTCTCTCTGCTTGACTTATTTCACTCAGCATAATCTCTTCCAGTCCCGTCCATGTTGCTACAGAAGTTGGGGATTCATCCTTTCTGATGGAGGCATAATACTCCATAGTGTATATGGACCACATCTTCCTTATCCATTCGTCCGTCGAAGGGCATCTTGGTTCTTTCCACAGTTTGGCGACCGTGGCCATTGTTGCTATAAACATTGGGGTACAGATGGCCCTTTCTTTTCACTACATCTGTATCCTTGGGGTAAATACCCAGTAGTGCAATGGCAGGGTCATAGGGAAGCTCTCTTTTTAATTTCTTGAGGAATCTCCACACTGTTCTCCAAAGTGGCTGCACCAACTTGCATTCCCACCAACAGTGTAAGAGGGTTCCCCTTTCTCCACATCCCCTCCAACACATGTTGTTTCCTGTCTTGCTAATTTTGGCCATTCTAACTGGTGTAAGGTGGTATCTCAGTGTGGTTTTAATTTAATCTCCCTGATGGCTAGTGATGATGAACATTTTTCATGTGTCTGATAGCCATTTGTATGTTTTCATTGGAGAAGTGAACTAACTAGATTTTAAATAAAAACTACACACACACACACACAAAGAAAAAAAGAGACCAAAAAATCTCTTAACTAAAGAGAACAAACTGATCATTTGTGGATGAGGATTGGGAGAAATAGGTGAAGGAGACTACGGAGTACATTTATCATGATGAGAACTGAGACATGTATAGAATTGTTGAATCATTATACTGTACACCTGAAACTAATCTAAACTTTTATGTTAACTATACTGGAATTTAGAAAATGATTTTTTAAAATGTATAAATAAATAAGTAAATGAGAAACTCTAGGACACTATATTTATAAATTCTATTTTTGCTGAAATTATATAGGGACATTGATACTATAAATGAAATATAAATGATGATTAAAAATAATAATATTGGTGGTTTTTTTTAAGAGAAGGAACACCCAAGGTCCAGAGGATCTAAGATAAAGAAATTACAGAAAGGCAGTACAATGAAAGAACCTGGCAAAGATTAGAAGATTTGCCTGGCATTCAGGAATTCTCCATTCCCACAAGCACTGAGCAGAAAGCACAAGAGCAGGCATCAAGCATGACTGCTTAGGGATGAAGACAAGCACTAGAGCAGGGCTCCTCAAACCTGGTGTGCACCAGAGTCCCCAGGAGGGCCTGTCAAGGCACAGAATGCTGGCTCCCCACCCAAAGTGTCTGATTCATTAGGTCAGGTGGGCCCAAAAAATGTGCATTTTCAACACAGTTCCCAGGTGATGCTGATGATGCTGGTCAGGGATCACAATTTGAGAACCACTGATCTTAGAGAAAATTTTTCCAGGTAACAATGGTAACCATAATTTGTCAGTAATGAAGGCCAATCATTAGTCAAAATGAATGATTTCATGAATCCCCTGAGTTTGGATTAAGGAAATTACTATCATTCTGGAAAATGCTTATTTGGAGTGAATCTTGTGCTGCTTTTTTCCTCCTTCTGGGCAAACCCAGTAACCCTATGAAAAGAGGAAACCAAACAGGAGTTGGGAATTTTCTCCTCCAGGGTTTCTCAGAGGAACTGGACATGCAGTCTTTCTTCTTTGGGCTGTTTCTGTCCATATTGTTAGTCACCTTCACTGGGAACCTGCCCATCTTCCTAGCCATCTGCTCAGACTCCCACCTCCACACACCCATGTACTTCTTCCTCTCCAACTTGTCCTTTGCTGACATCTGTTTCACCTCCACCACCATCCCCAAGATGCTGCTGAACATCCAGACTCTGGACAAAACCATAACATATGAAGGATGCCTCAGCCAGATTTTTTTTTTTCATTGCATTTGGATGCCTGGACAATTTACTCCTGACCGTAATGGCCTATGACAGCTTTGTGGCCATTGTCACCCCCTGCACTACTCGGTCATCATGAACCCCAGGCTCTGTGGGCTGTTGGCCCTGGGGTCCTGGCATCAGTGTCATGGGCTCCCTGCTTGAGACCTTGACCCTTTTGGGGCTGTCCTTCTGCAAAAAACATGAAAATCCCACACTTTTTCTGTGATCTTCCTGAAGTCCTGAAGCTTTCCTGTTCTGACACCCTCATCAATAACATAGTGGTTTATTTTGTGACTATTGTCCTAGGTCTTTTTCCTCTCTCTGGAATCCTCTTTTCATATTCTCGGATTTTCTCCTCCATCCTGAAAATTTCATCAACCAGGGGTAAGTACAAAGCCTTTTCCACCTGTGGGTCTCATCTCTCAGTGGTCTCCTTGTTCTACGGCACAGGCCTTGGGGTCTACCTCAGTTCTGCAGTGACTTCATCTTCCAGGACAAGTCTGGTGGCCTCAGTGATGTACACTATTGTCACCCCCATGCTGAACCCCTTCATCTACAGCTTGAAGAACAGGGACATGATGGGGGCCCTGGCTGCACTCCTCAGGAAGGAGGTGCCTCTCAGCATCAGGACCATTATAGGACTCTCCTGAGTACCTGGGCACACAATACTGAAGACCACAAATCTTAGTTTCCTTCATGCAATATTTTTTATTTTTCCTAATTTTACATGTTTCCAAGCAAGATTTTCCTTGGTTTTTCCCTGCCCTCTATTTTTCTTCAGGTTCCCTTGTGCATTCTTTTTTTCATTCTGTAACTAGTCATTTTAACTTGATATGAATAGAACCTGCTATTCTCTCAGTAACCTTCAGTGATGGTTTGGATTTCTTGAAAAATAAATCAAATCTCATGTGTTTAATAGACATATTCAAGGTGATAGGATGTGTGCCTAATTGGGAAATGTTGCCTTGCAAACTCATTTAGATGTTTTCTGCAGTTATATGAATGGAATCAAGTCAAATATTTGTGTCCAAAACTATGAGAAAATAAATTCCTATTGCTTAAGCCACCAGCCTGTGGTACTTTGTCATCACAGCCCTAGCAAACTAATACACCCTGCTTCCACAAGGAGATTTCTACCGACACAGACCATGGGCTAGAGGCAGAAATTCTTGTTTGAGATTGGGATCCCCGGCAAATCTCCCAAGAGTCAAATGTGGAGTAGGATGTTCTATAAGCATCTTGCCTTTGCATGGACTTTTCCAGTCACTGACATAAATGTTTCCATGGTGACTGCAAATAAGTTAAAGAATTCTTGGATCCCTTCTTCCACATTCTCCCATTTACATAGCCCAAGGGTTCTCTTGGGATCCTAAAGAATGGGGGGAGGCATCCCCAAACATACCTGTGTTGGAATGTCCCTTCCCCCTTGAGAGAGGTAGGTGCTCAAGTGAAGTTTATTTGATTTAGAAAAAGCTAATATTGTGTTCCCTAGACAAAAGGATTATAGAGTTAAGTTATACCCATGACGTCTGGAATTATGTTACTCTCTATTTACTTGGGTTTTCTCCCAGTTTTATTAAGGTCTCATTTAATGTCCCACCTGGTTCATTAGGCTTGCCTGTGTAGTAAGGAGACACAGAGCTTCCTGAGGTCAGCATGGGTGTGAGCCAACTGGTTTCAGCAATCAAGAGTTGGGACTACAAGATGCTGCTACTCATCCCTATGGGAAGCTGCTTCCTCAATTGCCAGCTATGGGTGTATGAAGTAAAGGGTTAACTGGAAGGGCTAGGGGTACTCAGAGCCTACATATTCCAAAGAAAGGACTTGCCCTTGATCAGCTCCCAGGAAATAACATCTGAGTCCTTGGAATATCCTCCCTGATAAAAGTGTCTTTGTAACCTAGGGCCCTGTATCATGCCAGGTTGTCTATGCTGACCATGTAATTTATGGTGAATGCCTCTTTTTGTTCACCTGGGGCCCTGGACAAGACTATATTCACTTGACTTCTGTGGGGCTGAAGCACCCCATGCCTACAAGACAGAACCCCCAACAAAAATCCTGGACACCAAGGCTAAGGTGAGCTTCCTTGGCTGGCATACGTACTGTCACCCATCACTGCTGAGAGAATTAAGGGTGTCCATGGGATTCTACAGAGGGGACAATTGGAAGCCCATATCTGGTGTCTTCTGGACCCTACCCCAGGCAACTTTTGTCCTTGCAGATTTTAATCTGTATCCTCTCACTGCAGTAAGTCATAAATGTGAGCATCACAGCTTTTCCAAGTTCTATGTGTCCTAGCAAATCACTGATGGTCATGGGGACCCCCAACACAGAGATCATGAATATTGCTTTATTATAATAAATGGTAGTTTTCCTTTACCTCTTTCAATTCCACCACTCCTTGAGAAAATAAATAACATAAGCTGACCCCTCAGCTTGTGGGACCCAAAGCTGTCCTCACCCCCAGTCCCAGGAGAAGTGTTTCCTCCCTGCCTTGCTCACTGCCCTCCACAAGTTCTCCCCATGCGCTTAGAGAGCAATGGAGGCCTTGGGCATCCTTTCGTCCCTGCTCCTTTATCTCGGTTTCCACCAAACAAGCCAGACAGAACATGTGTGTTCAGTGCACAGTCATTCAGGCAGCAGGTCTTCCCTAGGACATCCCCCCCCCACCCCAGCCCTATTCCCTCCTCTCTGAGTGGCAGAGCTGGGGGCCCCTCACATGGCACTCTCGTTGCCTCCCCGTCCCCTGGACGTCCCCTTCTCTTGTGCCATGAGTGACTTGTAGGGCTTCCCCAGGCTGGGGAGGGTAAGCTCAGCTTCCTGCAGCTCCAGCTCCTGCTGGGACAAATGCTCAATGACGGCAGCTCCAATAGAGTCCCCCAGGACATTGGTCATTGTGCGAAGTCGGTCACTGGGGAAGGGTAGGGAGAGAGAAACCACTGTTAGCTGAGATTTGAAGAGCTCATGGAGGAGAGGGTGCATCAGGGTGGGAGGTTCCTTGTGTCTGGGATGTGGGGCTCATGTTCCATCCACAACCACATAACCTCAAGCAGGTGCCTCCCACTTGATGTCCTCAGTTTCCCCTTCTCCTAACAGATGTACGTTGGATCAACTCTGATAAGCTCACGTGATCTTAGCATTGCAATTCTTTTTTTTTTTTTTAAGGATGTAAACATCTGATAGAGAAAATTAGGGGCTGTGGGCTGAACAGCATACAGGATGAGGAAGGTAACAACTGTGAGCAAATCAGGCCAGCCTGGACCCTAAGTGGGACTCAGATCCACCTGACTGCTCCTAAATGGGAAGGAAAGTCCAGATTTTTTTAATGTAAGCCTTCTGTTTTTTGAAGTTAAATATTAAAAACACAAACTAAAAACAACAAAAATTTGCAAGCCAGCTCTGTCCCATGGATCACCTTTTTGTGACTTCTCCAGGGACAAGGGCTTTTCAGGCTCATCGGTAAAGCCCCCATTGCTCATCTCCTCCCCATCCTACTCCCCAGGTTAACTCTATGGGATTTGGGATCTACAGGCCATGGTTTGGAGTATTCTCCAAGACTTTCCTTCTACTCTAAAATTCTACAACTCTGTCCTTGCTGGAATGAGGGCCCATGGGTTAGGGGTCTCACAAGGAAAGCGGGGATGGGGTTGAGGAAAGATAGCACCAGGGCCTGAAGAACACTCACAGGAACCAGTCCACAGCTATGATCAGCGTGATGTCTTCAGTGGGCAGGCCGACCGATGTGAGCACAATGACCATGGTGACCAGACCTGCCTGGGGGATGCCAGCAGCCCCAACGCTGGCTGCTGTCGCCGTGATACTGTACATGAAGAGAGAACACAGGGAGGAGGCAGGAGGTGGGAAGGAGAAGACGAGGAAGAGAGTGAGAAAGGGCACAACAGAAGGGAAGAGGTGGTTCCCTGGAACATCTTAAATTAAGTGCCTGAAAATAAAAAGCAGCCTTCAATAAATGTATTCTTTCAACTCATATTTATTGAGCATCTACTACATGCTAGACACCTAGTAGAAACTCCCTTAAAAGAAAATCCCTGCCCAAACAGAGCTTACATTCTAGTGGGGGAGGCAGGCAATAAATAAGATGAGTACTTAAAACATATACTAAGGCAGAGGGTGCGACAGAGAAACAGTTCAGCCTACGAAAGTCGAAACCATGCCATTTTAAATAGAATATTCAGGAAACACTTCCCTAAGCAGTTGACACTGGACCAAAGACCTGAAGGATGTGATATTTGCCGTTATATTTAAAATGACCATACGGAACCTCTGGGTACTGAGACCCAGGGATCCATCCTTCTTTTCAGAGCCTCAGGTTATTAGGATGCACCAGCCATACTTTGGAAAATCCTGGGCAAAGGGATCTCCCACCATAGCATGTGAGAGAAGATGGGACTGAAACGTCTGGCCAGCTCCTGATAGCCTCAGGTTGCACAGTCTCACCTTTAGCCTCATTTGGCATGGGTAGCTGGGGTCTTCCCACATGCCCCCTCCAACATTCAAAGCCTCCCTTGACATCAAGAAGCTGAGGCTCCCTCCACCCCTAGCCAACCTAATGACTTCTTAGATCTCACCTGCTGGCAGATCCCACCCAGGATCACCTCACCTGATCGTCGTGATCTGGCCCAGGTTGAGCTCATAGTTGTTGACTTGGGCGATGAAGATGGCAGCCAGGGCCTCATACAGAGCAGTCCCATCCATGTTGACAGTGGCCCCCACAGGCAGCACGAACCTGGTGATGCGTCGGTCCACACCCAGGCCCTCCTCCAAGCAGCGGAAGGTGATGGGCAGTGTTGCAGAGCTAGGGGAGAGAGCCCTGGAGGCTGAGAATGGGAAGTGGCAGGGAGGGACTGGAGTAGCCATGGGCCAAAGGAGGGATTCTGCTGAGAACACTGGGAGACCAGGTGGGAGCCAGAGCAAGGGGAGGATGGCAGGAGCATAACATTTCAGAGGTTGGTAACTGTGCATGGGGAATAAGGGCTCCTCATGATGCAAGAAGCACATGGCAATGGTAGTCCCCTAGGTTGAAGGTCTCTTGACCCACTTAAAGGCAACAGCTTAAAGCTAATTACTAGACACTTATTCATGCCACTGGTGAACTTTCCACTCCCAGAAAGGAAAGGACTAGGGGTCTACTGACCTCGCACACCCTCAGGGTTAAAAGAGAAGTATTACATAGACCTCTAATCCCCACTCATGTAGCTCAGGGAGCAACATCAGCTACACTAACCCTCCTGGTCTCTCTCCCCACCACTCCACAGCAGGGGAAGAGCAGTCGAACTGATTGGGGAGTTTAGTTGAAGGAATGGACATCTCACTTGGAGTTGACCACAAAACATGTGGTCTGGTCAGCTTGATGTCATGCAGTGAAAGCCTGGCCTCACAAAGAAGGCCTCTGGGGATCCAACCCTGTGGTGATCGGGTGAGTGTCATTCTGGGTTACAATGGCATCAATCTTATTGGCCAAAGACCAAAAGGCGCATTCTCCAGGCAGCATTATGAGCAATAACAATGATATTATTCTTCCACCCAGTTGGCTCTCGTGATACTTCTCAAACCTCTTTGAATTTGGATGACGGGGAAAGGGGAAGCTCTTTACTAACCCCATAAAACCACAAAAAAGGGGGGAAGGAGGAGAAAGGAGCCAAGTGAGCTCCCAGAGACCATTTCGAGGGGAAATGAGACTCTGAGCTAGAAAATGACACAGAATAGGGAGCACGTTTGTCCTAACCTCAAATTGGCAGCTGGTTCTCCTCCACATAAAATAGAGAAATAGAAAATGTGGAAAACAGGTCAGTAGAACCAGTTTGGGACAAAGATCAGCACCCAGGTGTCAACTGGCCTGTAGACCTTCAGGAACCACTAACATTACCACATAGCTCAAACGAGGTTTAGTACAGGGATTGGGGGCCAGGACTCTTAGGAGAGCCTGTGAACACCTGACAGTGAACCTCAGAAAAGTGCTGGAGGTGGGGGATGAAGCCATACCTGGAAGACGTGCCCATGGCAGTGATGAGGGCCTGCAGCATGCCCCCAATGAAGGGGAAGGGGTTCCGGTGGGTGATGAGGAAGTAGATGAGGGGCAGGACACCACCAGCATGGAGGAACAAGCCCACAATGACGGTCAGGGTGTACATGCCCAGCTGACCCCCCAGGACAGCCATGTCCTCCATCTCTAGGATCTTCCCAGCGATCAGGAACAGGATCCCCACAGGTGCATACCTAGGCCAAGCCAGACACCTGTCAGAGTGCCCTCATGACTTCCCCTAAACCTCAGAGCTGGCATTCCCAAGGCTTTGCCCATATAAGCCCCTAGAGCCAGGCAGTGCCCATCATACAGCACCCCTACTCTGCCCCAAACTTCCCCACATACTGACAAACAGGGATGGACCCCATAAATATATCCCACCGACTCTGCCTGCCCACCCACAGATCACACCTAGAACAGCAGGGAAAAGTTCCTACAACTCCAGTGCATACAATCCTATAAGGTTTCGCTTTCCTCCACTCCACCATTCAAGTCCATCCCCAAATAGTCACTCCTTGGGACTCTTTCTCTAGATGTGGCCCAAACATCCCCTATTACTGGCCTTCAAACTTCCCTTATTCACCACCTCCAACTCTGTTTAAATGTGTAACCTCAATGCCCCTGTTCTCTTTCCTGTAAGTGCATATTCTCACTCACTCACTGGCCCTGAGTTATTTCACCTGAATTTCCCCCAGACATCCCAAACCACATATCTTATCAAATCATTTATTTATTCGACCACTCTCTTGAGCACCTTACTCTGCACCAGTCACACTGTCCCTGCCCCTGTGGCACCTACATTCTAATGGGGAAAACAGGCAATACACATAGAAATGCCTAATTAAAAACTTCAGATGGTGAGAGCTGCATAACAAAGTCCCTCAGTGGGTTGCACCAGCATGAGTGGCCTGGAAGGGCCTCCCTAGAGATGTGACGTTCACACAGTGGCCTGAACGATGTGAAGAGACACATCTATCTGAAGGGGAAGCATTGCAAGCACCATGCAAAGACCCTGAGATGAGCATGAGCTAGAAGTGCTGAAGGAGAAGAGAGCAGACAGTGTTTGTGGAGTGGCAAGTGAGAGGAGACAGAGTGAGTTCATCAGGGGCTCACCTGTGCTCCCCACAAACCAGCGCATCTTAGTCTTGCAAGATGAGACACTGGCACCTGCCAGTGGTGCCTTCATTCAACCATCACCAGGCTTCTGCGTTACTCCTCTCTTTAGAAACTGAAGACTACACTTGGTTGTTCTCATGGTAGAGGCATTGGAGGACAGGAGGAGGCCGGGACCTCTTGGGAAATTGGTACAATAGCTTGGGTCAGAAACAATGAGACCCACCCTGAGGTGGTGGGAAGGAGGATGTGGAGCACTCTTCTGGCCACATCTGTATTCCCGTGGGCTCAGCTGGGCTCATGGTGAGACCAGATGGGAGGCTGCTGAGCTGTCTCCCAGTCTTCACCTACCTCTATGCCTGCTCTGTGAACCCCCTCCCCAGCTCCCTCATCATCATCCTTCCTCTTCATTCTCCACAGAACCCCTCAACCCTAGGTCAATTGCATGGGGCTTCTTTCCTTCTACATTCATCCAGCCAGCACATCTGGATAAACTCTGCCAACGATACCTCTATAAGTTTATGGTTTCCAATACAGTTGAGCTTCCATCTTGTCAGTCTTCTTGCCTATCCTCGATAAGCTCCCCCCTCAGCTCCTTTTCCAAGTTTTAAACTTGGCCTCTAGCCCCCTATGCAACTTTCTAATTATTGGAGATTATGTACAAAGTCTTCTCCAGGCTGGCCCTAGACAGTCTTGTTAATATCTTGCACCACCACTCCCAACTTACCCTGTGCTCCTACCTCCCTGAACTCCCCACCATTCTCCAGCCAACTCAGCTTCCTGCAGGCTTTGCATGTTCTCTTTCCCTGCTTGAATGGCCTCTCTCCATTCCTGTCCTATTGGGTTCCCACTTGCCTCTCAAGACCCAACTATGAGGCAACCTTTTCTATAACTCCCTCTTCACCTTACCAAGCAGAGTTCACTGCATATCCCTTCCTTGGCTGCTCACTTCTTCATGTTCCCAACTCTTTTTGAACACCCCTTTGCTCTAGAACCTTCCACCTTGTAATACACTTATCTAGGATGTGTCTGTCTCCTCCAAGATTTCATAAGCTTCTTGGGGACAGGGGCTGAATTCAGCATATCCCTGCGTTCTAGACAAAGTTAACCCAGAAAAAGTTCTGCTGAATGAGTAAAGGAATTTGTGAAGGAATAGAGAATGGTAAAATGGATGCACGCATGTATCAACTAAGGAATAACTAGTGAGTGGATAAACAAATAAGGAAATGAGCAAATGAGACACAAATGATCTGGTGAGTGAATGAATGAGTGTGTTAAGTGAATAAATGCAGGGAATACATGAGGGAGTGAATGGGAGAATAACAAATGCAGAGATGAATGAGTGGGCCAAAGAATGAGCTTGACTGAATACACAGCAGAGTGAGTAAATTAATCAGTCAGTCAAACAATGGCTACATTAATGCGTGGATGAGTCTGTGAATGAGTTTATGAGTGAATGTATGAATGAGTAAATCAACCAATACATACATGAATAACCTTGGCAAAATGGCCCAATGGCCCCTTGAGCAGCTGCCCCACAGCCTGACTTCCCAGTCCTGGTTCCACACTTCCCACGTGCCATCACCTGTCAGCCCTGTCAAAACCCAGCACTTACCAGATAATAATGCCCACCATCCTCATAATAGCCTCATTGAGGCTGTCGAAGAAATCCCGAAGGACTCGGCCCTTGTGTTTCATGCCACCAATGACCAGCCCAAAGGCCACAGAGAAGACCACAAGGCCCAGGGCATTAATGCCATTGGCTGAGCCAGGTACAGGTACAGTCTCCTCAAAGCTCAGCACCTCCTGCAGGGTGCCCAAGGCCCAGGTGACATTTTCCAGGAGGCTAGTTCCGTTGTCCATTGAGGACGGGGGAGGCATGGAGGTGCCCGGCTCAGATCCATTCTCTGTCCTCACTATGGTCCTGGTTACCAGCCTCGTGCTATACTGTGTCTTGAACTGAAATATGGAGAGATTGGGGCCAAAATCAATTCATCAGAATCTCCTGAAAAAGTTTATTTAGAACACCAATTCCTGGTTGCTACCCCTGGAGAGTCTTATTTAGAGGACTTGACCAATGCATAGAAGATCGAGTGAAGGAATACATGAATAAAGGAGTGAACAACCAATGCATGGAAGAATGAGGAAAGATTCTGCCTTTTTCAAAGCTCCCTGTTCAGAGAGATTTGGGAACTTCTCTCCTCAGTCATCTATGGTGAGATGCCCTGGTTCCTCCTTCAGCACCATCCCCAGGCAGCTCTTGGCCTAAGTCCTTTTCTGTTATCTTCCCTTGATCATTCCACCAATGGGAGGTATATTCTTCTCCAAGACTCTTCCAAATGCCCCTGCCCACTGCACTGGCATGCTCTTCTTCCCTTCCCTCACCCCAGGACCACTCACTCAGCATCAAGCTACCCCCCTCAAACCTCCTTGAACACACCGTGCACTTCCCCCTGACCTGTTTGAAGCAGGCCTCGACCAGGTTGGGTGGAAACATATTTCTGCAGAAAAACAGAAGAAGAAGGGAGGTGGTTAGACCTTGGGAAGGAGTCCAGGGTGATAACAGTAAGAATAATAGCAATAATACCAACCATAATAATGGCAGCCAACAAGTGAATGCTTACTCTAGACCAGGTACTGAGCTAAGTGCTTATCTAAAGTTAAAGTTATCTAAAGTATCTAAAGCTAAGTGCTCATCTAAATACAACAATAATTCTTGAAGTGAGCACTACCAAGGTCCCCATTTTATGCACAAAGAAACCAACACAGAGAGAACTTACAGATGTTACCCAAAGCTACACAGCTCAAAAGGGGTGCAGATGGACCTCAAATCCATGCTTCTCTAAGCCCTTCCATAGAACCCTATGCTACCTCAGACTTCAATTCACACACATGTGCCAGTGATGCCTCAAAAAACACAGATAACTTGTGGACCTCAGATGTGGGTTTCCTCCAAGTCAGTGACTAGGGAAGAACCATGGTAAGCCTTGATTCTGGTTGGCAAAATTTAGCTTCTTTAAAAGAAAAGGAGCTTGGAAACACCAAATACCACCTGTTCTGAGCTCATTTCAAGATGCAGCTAAAGCCTCCAGAGCCTAAGGTCCAAAAGATCCTACCCTAGGAGTCAGCTACTCTCGGGATTTGCATAAGGCTCCAGGACATTAAATGGGTATCAATGAACTAGGTTCAACTTGGGTGTTGCATTTCCAGGCTGAATCAGCCCGTCCCCTTGAGTATCTCCTTGCCAGCTTGTCTCTCCTTGAGTATGGTTGCTTGCATCTAGGGCCAGAGTTCCCATCAAAATTAGAAAGGACGTCACCTGACCAAGTCCATGAAGGCATCAGCTGTGGGGATGGTCTCAATGCGGCCTTCGCGGTGCAGCCCCTCCTTGGAGCCCTTCCCAGGATGGATGATGGTGACCATGAGGATGCCAATGAAGACAGCAATGACCGTGGTCACCATGTAGTACACAGCTGCCCGCATCCCCATCCGCCCTGTTGCCTTGTTATCCAGGGATGCCATACCTGGAGGACAGGTGGTGCAACCCTGAGCAGCATCATCCACACCCCACCACCCTCTCTCCCAACCATCAGCTCTATTTCCCTCATACCACCAGCTCAACAAGAATTTACCAAGAATCTCCTCCTTCTGCGCCCCACCCCAGCACCCACGCTGCCATCATTTGACCCCTCTTATCAGTCTTCAGCCCCTATTCTATTTTCCAAATACGCCTTCCACCCCATCCTTCATCCCAAGCCCCACTTCACTAAACTTCCTCTACTTCAAGCCGAACTTTTCAACTCCCATCCCACCCTCCATTTATGCCTGTTACACCATAATGTCACCTTCATTCCACTCTTCATCCTACTATTGACCCCAAAATTATACTTCCCTCCAGCCCACCTTACTGTACCCTATCTGTGAGAAATAGTTCTTTTGGTGCTCCCTCCAAAAGCCCTTTACCAGGCTAACACAACTGCCCTTCAGCTGCTGCATTGCTGGCTCCCAACAGTTTGTGTGGCCCCCTTCTCTGGAGAATGGCCCTCAGCAGAACAAAAGTTGCTTTGCCCAGAAATACCTCACGGAAGACCTAAAACCAAAGGCTGCCTGGTACAGGGATTCAGAAGGCCAGTTCCTTTGACTCAAATGAGGGCAGAGTTGGGAAGAACAATCCTGTAGCTTTTCTTCTGCTCCACAGTTATCCGTGAGATAAGGCTAAGAGGCTGGCCTTCTTCTGAACCCATCTCTGCTTAGATTCTTTCCCTGCCCCATCTTGCTCCCCTTGCTTCCTCATGGGTCTCTCTTGAATGTTATCTCTTGATATATCACTTGTGCAAATATCCCCATTTTAGGCTCTGCTTCTGGGAAACCCAACCCAAGAAACCACTCTTTCAGTCCTTTATCTTCATTCCCATCCCAAAATCTTGGAGGTTGGCAATCAACCACTTAGGGGCTAAATCTGGCCCCCTCTCTGTCTTTATAAATAAAGGTTTATTGGAACACAACCACACGCATTTGCTTACAGGTGAATCTGCAGCTGCTCCTGCACTACCATAGCAGAACTAAATAGTTGACAGAGATCATATGGACCCCAATGTTGAAAATGTTTACTATTTGGATCTTTACAAAAAAAGTTTTCAACCTCTGCATAACTCATCCCTATTTCTACCCTGGCCCCCATCCACCATCCTGTCACCTCCATCTCAAACACTTTCACCCAATCCCACCCCCTGACCCTTGATGCCATTCTATCTTCCCCCTAGCTGCCCTATCACAGCCTTTCTTTCACCTTTGGATGATGATAAGCCCTTAGCAGGCTGGTATTTTATCTACACGGAAAAGCACGGTAAAGTTACTGAGATAAGTGGCATAGGTCATATGGGGACTGGAACCTGAGTCTGATGAAGATCTAGGCTTTGGCCAATAACTCGGGGTAGGTGCAGGGTTCATGTTTGAGGTTCTAAGATAGGGAGGTGATCCCATGCTTGCCATAGCTTTGGCTCCAGGTTTGAGTCGGGACTCCAGGATGGGTCTCGGAGGCCAACACTGACCTGGGCTCTCTCACCTGTGACCAGGCTGGAGACAATGAGTGGCAGCACCAGCATCTGCAGCATCCTCATGAGAAGCTCTCCAGGGAAAGAGAAGTACTTGATCTGGCGGTAGGTAAGCTGGTACGGGCGCAAGGCAAAGGCCAGGCTGACTCCTAGAACCGAAAGAAGGCCTCTGTGGAATGGTTGGGGTCACTGGGCCCCATTTGTGTGAACGTGTCCTTATGCGGGGGAAAGCGGTGGGTGTTGCCAAGTGCATGTGCCAGTGAGAATGGTGGAGTGACGATGTGTGCGTGCAGGGAATTTCTCTGAGGTCTCCGCCCCTCCCAGCCAGCTCACCGATGACCACAGCACTGACGGTCAGCAGGATGAAGGCGTTCCGGCACAGGAAGCGCAGCACGTGCTCACGTGTCATGGTCTGCAGGCGCAGGCGCGTGCGCAGTGCTCTCTGCTGCAGGCTCTCCTGCAGCCGCTGCAACCAGCCCACCCGGCCCAGCCGCTGGCCGCTCTCCCGCAGGAACAGGCTGTTCCCGTGGCTGCTCATGGTCTATCTGCGGGGGACAGAGGAGCTTTCTAGTAAGGGAGAGGACAGAAGGTGGCTGTGGGGACAGGGGAAAGGGTGGACAAAGGAGGAACTCAGAATCCAAACATCAGGGGAGGGGCCATGTCCACCTGTCCACGTGGGATGTGCCCGTGCTGGGACACCTGAGAACACTACCTGGTGCTCAGAGTTAAATCCTGGCAGAAAAGGGTCCAGATCTCCACAATCCGCTCCCAGACATGAAGGGGAAGGAGACCACAATGTAATGGACACCTTTGCCATCCCTGACTCCAGAGCCCTCCTTATTTCATATCCTCACAAGCCGCTGGGAGTTGTCCCAGCACACAAACCAAACTAGAGAGCCTTTACTGAGCACCAACTGCATGCAGAGCCCTAGACAAGGCATCCTGGTGTTAGTCCCCCCAAATTAATATGGTTTGGTGTCTGGCCTGGTAGTGCTAACAAGTGGCCTTTCCACAAAGACAAAATCAGCAGGTGCCTGGCAAACAGTGAGTGCCCAATAAATACAAGTGCCCTGCATGAGTGAACAGAGGGGCTGGAGGTGGGATCCCTCAGGAAGGAAATGGTGACAATCCTTGACCCCAGTGGCTCTTCAAGATCCATTTTTTTTATCTCTTTTAAGCATAACAGTATTCATTGTTTTTGCACCACACCCAGTGCTCCATGCGATCCATGCCCTCTCCAATACCCACCACCTGGTTCCCCCAACCTCCCACCCCCCGCCCCTTCAAAACCCTCAGATTGTTTTTCAGAGTCCATAGTCTCTCATGGTTCACCTTCTCTTCCAATTTCCCTCAATTACCTTCTCCTCTCCACCCCATTGGCTCTTCAAGATCCATTTTTGAAGGGAAATGTGATGTTCAGAATCACTCTGGGTCTTTCCCAAACTTCAGACTTTTGTGTCTCCTCTATATTTGACTCCATCCCTGTAACCTTATATGCTTATTTAAATAAATATCTCTTAAATGGAAATGAGATCATTACTTGAAATGCAAATTATATTTTAATACACATTAAACGAAATGCATGTAAAAATTAAAACCTGCCTATCCTTTACCAGTGAAACATGTTACATGTATCAGGCAGCTTGTAGCATGAGCCAGAAGAATTTTTATTTTTGTGGACTCCTTCCTCCATTAAAATATATACATTATATTAAAATATTAAATTATATTTTTACAAGTGAATTGTTACAAAAATGAATATAGTATTTTGGAACTAGATAGAGGGAATGGTTGCACAACATTGAGAATGTACTACAGGCCACTGATGCCACTTTAAAATGGTTGAGTTTCTGATATGTGAATTTCACCTAACATTATACATTAAACCATTTTCTTTTATCTAAAAGTGTAGTTCTTAACAATGAATCTTGGAACACTGAAAATTTTAAATTAAATTAAAAAAATAAAAGTGTAATTCTTTCTTCTGATTTAAAAAATGAAAACAGGGGCGCCTGGGTGGCTCAGTGGGTTAAGCCGCTGCCTTCAACTCAGGTCATGATCTCAGGGTCCGGGGATCAAGTCCCGCATCGGTTTCTCTGCTCAGTGGGGAGCCTGCTTCCCTCTCTCTCTCTCTGCCTGCCTCTCTGCCTACTTGTGGTCTCTACCTGTCAAATAAATAAATAAATAAAATCTTTAAAAAAAAAATAAAAATAAAAAATGAAAACAAAATAAATAAATAAAATACAAAATAAGTTAAAACAAGAGGAGGGGTGGGGTTATGGACATTGGGGAGGGTATGTGCTATGGTGAGTGCTGTGAAGTGTGTAAACCTGGTGATTCACAGACCTGTATCCCTGGGGATAAAAATATATTATATGTTAAAATTAAAAAATTTAAAAAAAATAAGTTAAAACATTTCTGTGGATCCCTAAAGGTATCATGGGCCCAGGGCACTGGACATCCTATTCTTGAACGACAGACAGACTGGCCTGCAATGATCTCACAGGAAAAAAAAAAAAAAAAAAGTGTGATAGTGTCCATATTCCAGGCAACCTGGGAATTCTGTTGACCCTGTAGATTCACTTCAGGCAAACAGTTGACCACCAGGGGGGGCATTGCCCAGGATCCCTTGCCCATTGGCTCCCTTTTTGGTCTGACCAGTGGGAAGCAGCAGAATGGCTGGTGGGAGCAGCATTCTCCCTGCCACACCCCTGTTCAGCCAAGGTTGTGTTCCTCTGCCTCAGTCTCCTGTCAGTCCTATGTATCTATTGGCTATTCGGATGCCTTCTTTGAAAAAATGTCTATTTAGTTCCTCTGTCCATTTGTTAATCAGATTGTTGTTTGTTATTGAGTTGTATGGGTTTTTTATATATTTAGGATATTAATCTCTTATCTGATACGTGGTTTACAAAAAAATGTCTCCCATTCTGTAGGTTGCCTTTTCATTTCCTTTTACTGTGCAGTGTTTAGTGTGATGTGGTCTCACTTGTTTATTTTTGCTTTTTTTTTTTATGCTTTTGGTGTTATATGCAAAAAATCTTTGCCAAGCCCAATGTCAAGGAGCTTCTTCCCTACCTTGTCTTCTAGGAGTTTTATGGTATCAGGTCTTATGTTTAAGGCTTGGATCCATTTCAAGTTAATTTTTCTGAGTAGTATAAAAAAGGGGTCCAATTTCATTTTCTGTATGTTTTTATCCAGTTTTCCCAACACCTGTTGAAGAGACCATCCTTTCCCTGTTGGGTGTTCTTGGCTCTCCTGACCAGATAGAGGAGCTATTGCTACAATGACAATCATATTACAATATATAAATGTATCAAAACAACATGGTACACACTTTAAACTTATACAATGTTCCATGTCAAATATGTTTCAACTAAAAAAGAAACACAATCCTTTGTTTCAGCCAAGGCTCTGGCCCTGTCCTCCTCCCTCTCTTCCTCCCTGCTGGTCCCGCCCCTTTCCCCGCCCCCACTCTTGCTGGTCCCTGAGTGTTACTACATCATTCTTACTGGTTTCCCTTAACTTTGCTCATATCTTTCCAGTTCTGCTTTTCTAGTGTGTTGTTTCCTGACAAATACACCAGATTTATTTGGCTCTTAAAAAACTCTCCAAGCCAAAGGAAGGCAGTCAATATTGTTCCTGTGCCGAACTTCACCCAGGTCAGGGCTGGGAATATGGGAGTCTGAGAGAAGTCTCAGTTCCACCAGTAGGTAGAACCCTGGATTTTTTTTTTTCTGCCACTGGCTGTGCAGTCACTTTTCTGGGGCCACTGTCTTCCTTGCCTTTTTCTGGTCCCCCATATCCAAAGCATGGGACATCTGCCTCTACTCTTAAGGCCCTGCTCCCTCCAGGTCCAAGCCCCGATTCTCAATGCTAAAGCCCAGTTGCGGTCCTGCTCCAAATGGGTCCATCACTTTGAAACCATAATTTCACTGATTCTCACCTTGCAGTGAAAAATCCCAGACTTGGAACCACAGACTACACAGAAAACTCATAATTCCTCCCTCTCTCTAGAATGCATGTTCCCAGTCACCAAGCAGTAGCACAGAATTACCTGTGGGTCCCCAGGGAGTGTCCAGCTGAGATCTCAACTAGCCACAAGGGGTCCAGAACTAGTTTTGTCTCCTTCCTTACAAGAAGCAGTACAGCGTATTGCAGAAATGGACAAACAATAGTCCGAGAGCCAAATCCAGCCCACTGCTTGCTTTTATAAGTAGTTTTATTGGCACAGAGCCACACTCATTTCTTACATGTTGCCTATGGCTACTTTCGTACTACAACATCTGAGCAAGGGTGTTGGGACAGAGAGTGTGTGGGCCACAGTACAATCTCTCTGGCCCTTCACTGACAAAATTTGCTAGTCCCTGTCCTAACAGAAGAGCATACCTGAGCTCTTTATTTCAAATCTCCCTCCACCTTGAATAACTGGTCACTTTTGTGTGGCTTGGATGGCCCAATTCACATGACACTTAGAACAACGCCTGGTGGGCACAAAATAGAGATCAACTGGGGTTGATATAAAGCAGAAACCCAGCAGACACACAGCTGAGGGCAGAGACAAACACTGAACCCTGGGTTCTCTCTTTTCCAGTCTCTCCTGGTCCTAGGCATTCTCTTGACCCTGGTTTTTGTTGTTGTTTTCTTTTTCTTTTTCTTTTTCTTTTTTTTCTTTTTCTTTTTTTTTTTTTTTAAAGACTTGCTGCTTGGGAAGTGGCTCTTCAAGTGTCCCCAGTCTGCAGGAGCTCAGGATGGGTCTCCCACCTGGTTTCCCCATCCTTGATTTTGGGATGCAATAAGATGTGAGGGCCACCCCTCCCTTGGAGCCAAAGGAAAGAAAGGAAGGGCCTCTACATCCTAAAACCGAAGCAAGCTCAGTGGGCAAATGTATGCTTCCTCTACATTTTATCTCAACACTCTGCTGGCCAGAGGAGTGAGTGGGGGAAGGAAAGAGAGGAGAGAAATCACATACATAACATATCACGCACAGCTTCAAACGCACAATCTCACACACCTCTGTGTGCAATTGACACAAACACCACTGCACAGACATACAGTCACACACACAGAACTCTTCAGACACACAAACCCACGCACACCTTCAGAAAAGCAACTCCACTCCTGCAGTGTCGGTCATACAATCCCTACACACACAAACACACACACTTTCATGCACACCATCAGATATACAACCCCCCACACACCTTCAAGACCCTGAACAATTCCTCTTCCTAAATGAAACTCCATACACCGAGAGCCACAGAATCACAGACACACACACACACACACAACTTGGGACTCCAGACACAAAACTTCAGACATTCAAATTCCTTCCCACATTTAAGCACCCAGCCCACACACCTCTCTAGGAAGGCGAGCCACTCATAAATTCAGCCTCCCACACACACCACCACCACCACCACCCCACACACAACTTCCCACCCACCACCGGTGTGACGGCGGCCAAAGTCTCAGTCACATCCAGTCTGTCCGGAGTTGGAGGAATAAACACCCTGATAGGGATGGGAGCCGAGCCCTGGAAATGGAGGAA